AGATGCGGGGGGGGGGGGGGGGGGGGGGGGAGATGGATAGATAGGGTAGACAGGACCCTGTGTGGGGCGAAGAATATGGACAGTCGGTAGCAGAAATCAATCAGGCCGCAACGCAGAGGCGGACGATCGCGGTACCGGTCATGGACCTGTTGATGTGGTCGCAACGCACACGGCGGCGGCGCAAGCGGTGACGGATAAACAGCGGGAGAGGTTTAGTCGATACAGAGGTCTGCCATGCGACGACGGAGGGGACGCGTGTGTTGGATGGAGAAGCTGGGGGAGGAAGTTACGGACGGAAAGGTCGTGGCGTCAGAAAAAGGCGTGATGCAATGCGAAGTCGCCCGAGGCTGGATGGCGATGCAGAGTTCTGATTTCCTGCCATGCGCAATGGACGCACGTGACCTGGTCGGTGCGGTAGGTATTAATACGAGTAATCTGTAGTGATGATGGAGTACTGGATGACTTATAACGTACCCGTACGGGGTAATAGCTGTAGGGGAGTACATCTGGAATCTGCACTATCATCAGGGAGTATTTACAGCGTACATGCCTTCCGAGGCCCGCACTAGTATTACAGATTACAGCGCACAGGAAGCCCGGGGGCCCGGTCTCGGTACATTCCACCTGCCCCTCTTACTCCGTAGTTCCGCTGCCACACCTACATACGAACCTGCCTATGCTCGTATACAGAGTACATGGGCCTCATCTTAATACCTGGGGAAACCTTGCCTAGAGCAACGGTGCCTTTGATGGGCTTGACAGTGAAACCAAACTAACGGAACGTGCGAAGAAAAAAACAAAACACCCATGAACCTAGTTGACGGTTCCTGGAAAGCCGCATTCCCTAGCCTCCCTTAGCGGTGCTGTAACTCCGCGGTATTAGTGGTGCCAGCACGGCTAGCAGGCTGCAGCACTAAACAGTAAATAATAGCGAGCCGGGAGTTCCATGGGTTGGGTAGTTGGCTTAGTAAGGTGGCTCGATGACGGAATGGAACCCCGGATCAGATCCGTTGCGGCGCACGAATGGACTCCACGGAGTTGGAGCAGAGCACGTTCCATGATGCCACGCTGTATTACAGGGGACCCTTGGGGTTCGTTTCCCGGGAAAAAAAGCGGCTCGTTCAGCGATCATGCGCACGGCCACGTTCTTTCAGCACTCTATCCTGACCTTGGTACTTACAAGTTAGAGGTTACGGGGGGGGGGGGGGGGGGGGGGGAGTACGTACTCGTATGTATTATGTACAGATGCCCTGTCGTATCAATTACCCGTTGCATATATGCTACAGAGTATTACATGTTATACGACGATGCTCCAACGACGCTCCCACGTGATACACCTCCCAAGAGAGAATACCCTATATCTAGGGCTATGTGCTTCCTGCTTGCGACAGCACACGATGGCCCGTAGACGTGAATACGGTGGTCTCAGCCTACCGGTGCATCTCGGGTCGATGGGTGTGTGTCTAATTGCTTAATTGAAAGAAGAGGAGGAAGTCTATCTATATGAGGTTATCTACGGATGTCAGTGTGGCTCTTGGATGCCACAGCTACAGAGGAACATGTCCGGAACTTCACCGATGCCAGAGTCTCTGAAGACTGGCGTCGAACAAGCGACGAAACTTCCCCTAGATGAGTTCGTATTCGGAGATATATAATCTGTAATCTGTACATTATGCACTTTCACGTCGAAATGACACGTCAACTTTGCATCCTCATGTATCATGTCTAGTATCAGCGCAATCACCAATTCAAATCTTCAAATAGTCGCACCATACACGATGCACGTTCAGGTGCTAACCACAAAACATATGTTTCGACATTAAATCCGGCCAGAGAGACTGTTATATGGACAAGTACAGAAAACTGCTCGCAGACCGGACGTTATCGAGAAAAAGACAAGACAGGCTGGGTCAGGCTGACAGACGCAGCCCAACCTCGATAGTTGAATGGCGCCTGTGGTAGGTGATATAGTGTCAAGCAATAACACCCATCCAGCAACGTCAGGATATGTCCGCTGCAGCAGGGCTGAGGCGGGTCGTATCATTGAAATAAAAGAGGGGAATAAAGGTGCTTTTTTTAGACGGCTTACCCTTGCATGTGCTACATGCCAAGACGAAGCCATTGCCTTGCTTCCGCCCGTGTGTGTGTGTGTGTGTGTATTGTGCCTCTCCCTCCTGCTCGTATACGCGTGCAATCCAGCGTATGCATGCTTGAGAAAGACAGGACTTTCCGACGGTTGAACCGTCAGTCCCTGCAAAGATAAGGCACCCGTGACAAGAATAAGAATGAAGTACCGAAAATGCGTGAGATACTAGATGTCCCCGTACAAGGTTGCCAAAGTCGTGCTGTATGGAAGTTGTTGATAGTGATGATGTGTAGAGAGTGATGGTGATCTCCGTCTTCAATGGGGGTGGATACGGGAGCTGTCTGTCCGCCGGCCCAAAGCCAGGCCTCAATAGGGGATAGAGGTGATGCCGATATGACGAGAAGACGAAGCTAGACTCCCCTTTCCTCCTCTTTCTAGTAACACGGGGCTGCCACACCATTGCCGTAGTCTGGGAGTCGACAGCAGGGACCAGACTAGGGGTGGATGACCTGGTCCCCGGCACGACGGGATATGCGCCGGGTACGGTTTATTAGTACTATTATCACCTGGTATCATCTCTCGACATCCGTCCGTTCATCTCATGGGGACACGGTCCAGCTTCTTTAGACTATGCGATACGCATTCAAATACTCTACGCGCCAGCTCAATCGAACGAGGGTTCGACGGGTCGATCAATGTCAGCAAGTCGGAACCCGCACGTACATGAAGGGGGGGGAAAGGGGNGGGGGGGAAGGGGGGGGAGGGGGGATGATGGTACACAGGGCGCGGGACGCCAGCGTTGCCCACCAGGCGGAGCGATTACGATGCTCAAGTACTGTACAGTGTATTATTGGACAGCGTCGTATTGAGAAAACGGATATGAAGTAATATGCTGGAGATGGTGCGGTTGTGATGACTGGGAAGGGGAATAGCCCTCCCTACCTGTTCTTGCGGCTGAAAACAAAGAAGGAAAGAAGGAAGGAAAAAGAGCACGAAGTTACGAGTAAGCTGGGCAGTGTTGGACACGGAGATCAGAGGTATCTCACTTGTCATGTATGGTTCCTTGGAATACGTCGTTGTGTTCCCTGTAGATGCACGACGGCAGATATCGAATGGGAGGAGAGGCGGTGGGGGAGTTTCCTCTTCGTTTGTTTCCTTCTCACCCTTGGTCATCCATCTCTTGTTTACGCCTCTCTCTCTTCCTATTTCTTACCTGGCTGAGAGTCTCAATCCTTCCAGGCTAGAGCGCCCGTGTTTTCCATGTCTTGCAAGCACGTCGACGTGGAGTGGCGGCGGATACGACGATAAGAAGAGAGGTGTGGAGTGGAGTGGTGGGGGAGGGGTAGCCGGGGAGGGCCAAGCAGATCCGGACACACAGAAGAAAAAGAGGCGGGATTTGAAGGAAGAGTCGGGGAGAGGAAAGTAGTGAGGCCAAATAATGAAAGCCAGTCCATAGCTTGGGGAGGGAGGGGCTGACACGACGGAAGGATACGACGAGGTTGTTGTGGCTGTTGCTGAACTTGGGTTTCGCGAACTGTGCGAGCATACAGCTACTTCTACCTACAACCAGTAATACCCGATAGTAAGACAGACTGTAGTATTATCAGCGTATCGGGTACATTTACGGCAAGCCACACATGGTCTGACATTTGTGTCTGCATTGACTATTGACTATTATATTCCGTACACCGATATATACATGTAGGAATACATGTGTTTCGAAAGGGGGGGGGGGGGGGAGCGCGGCGTCTGCACCTTCTCGCGGCACAACTCGTTCCGACCTGACCTCAGCTGTGATACCTGTACATAACAAGTCAAGTTGCATGATTGTTGCTGCATGTACTATTGTCCAGCACTGCGATACGGGGAGATTACATGTAGACCAAGTACATGCTTTCACCAATAACATCCTAACTCGTCGTATCCTGATATACCGTCCGAGTAAGAAGTCTTGGCCCTTATAAGTAGATTCAGATCCCCCTCCACCATCCTGCTTCCTCTCCTCCTCCTCCTCCTCTCCTTTTCCACTGGCACTTTTCCTTAGCTAAAGACAGCCTACATACGTGGAATCCGAGCTCGACATTTCTCACCCTTACACAGCGACAGCGCACCCGAGACTTGGACCTGTCCCCCCCACTTCCTGCAAGCATGTCCATCCTATCCAGCATCCGCAAGAGCCGAGAGTCGGCGAGAGAATACAACGCCAAGGTAGCCGAGCAGAAGAAGCAGGGGGCATCGTCATCCGCGGCCTACCGACACGTCCCCACGCACGCCGCCATCGACGCCGTAGCCAGCGCCCCACCGACATGGCGCGAGGCCGACGACCGTCGGAAGATCCTCGAGCAACACCACAAGAGGAGCTCGATGGGCCCCACCGCCCACGGAGGCTTCCCTCGCGCCTCCAGCAGCCTCTCCTCCGTCTCCTATTCCGGAGCCGCTCACGGTACTACCGGTGGCGTCTCGCGCGTCGTCCCCCGCTCATACAGCTACACCGGCGTGTCCCCTTACGCGGACGGCAGCCGCGACGTCATATACTCCATACCCGACCATGTGCCCCACCAGGAAGAGTACCAGGTCGGCGGCGGCGGCGGGCCGACGATGGCGACGCGGTCTAGTTCCCAGGACGATCTGGAGCTGAGGCATGATCACAGTGCGCACCACAGCAACAGCGGCGGCAACAACGGCTTGCTGCATCCTGTCCGTCACGGGAAGGGGAAGGGGAAGCATATGCCGTCTTCAGCATCGTCTTCTACGTCGTCCAACAGGGCTGTACGCGTGGGTACGGCTCCCGGACCTCTCCCAGTCACGGCCATGAGTGCTGCTGCTCCTCCTCCTGCTGCAACTGCGGCTGCGATGGTCCTCACACGCAACCCGAGCCCGGACTCGACATCGTCGCCCTCCCCGCCCGCCCTCACGCCCACGTCCGCCAAGTTTCCCTCCGTCATCACCCCCGCAGCCACCGCTGCAGCCAAGGATGCTGGGGATGTATCGTACTTTTCCCACCTTGATCCCAAACTGAACCTCGGCACTCCTCCTCCTCACCAGCCCAGCAAGGCTACGAGGTTTGCTGAACCGAGTCCCGCTGCCAGCGTCGAGCAGATCGCTAGCGTGCCTGGGGCTGTCATTGTCAACATGCTGCCTGAGCCGGCTGAGCCTGCACCCGAGATGCAGGTACTCAAGAGGAGACGACTGAGCAAGTTGCTCAGAGGTCGTTAAAACATGCGTACAACCCCCCCCCCTCCCCCCCTCCTCCTCCCAACCTCTCTACCACGGAATCAAAGACAGCAACGACAACGGCAACGATAAAAAAAAACACTAGATGTACTGTTACTCAATCATTATATACACAAGATCATGCTTCCGAGAAAGCAGCGGGCGTCGTGATCTGGGATCGGGGTCAACTTTGGAGACGAGCCACATATGATCAGTTAGCATGTCTCAGTACATTCAAGGAAAGGGTTACACACATACACCACGCCAGTACCTGTCCCGAAGCTTCCGTTCAGTATCCAATCCTACGTCTCTCAGTATACGTAGTAGCTAGTAATAGTAATACATACGTGGTAGTACTAGATAGTCGTGATGAATCGTTTCGCCCTCACCGTCACACTTGGAAGTTGCGGGACAGAGCTCCAGGTGACAGAGCTCAAGGCTCCGCTCAAGGTTCGGCGGGGAATGGAGCGGCGCTTCTTGAGGAGGCTCAGGCCCACTAATTATCCGGGGAGAGAGCTTTGGAGTCCCCTGGAGAGCCCTAGAGAGCCCTGGAGAGCCCTGGAGAGCCCTGGAGAGCCCTGGAGAGCCCTGTAAGAGCCCTGGAGAGCCCTGTCGATCATTTTCCCCCCTGGGTCTTGACCTTGTGGACTCCATCTGTCCACTGTCCACTAGCCGACTGTTCGCTGTTCCGACGTTTTTCATGCGCTGGTCCATGAAGCTGCGATGTGCGATGTGCGATGTGCGATGGACGTAATGCAGCTTACGTCTTCTCAACTCATGCTCCGCCCCTCTTCACTTCACTTCACCTACGCCTCTCTACCTACCAATACAGATACTGATCCTACCAACTCAATTCTCTCCCTTCTCCTTCCTTTCTTTTTTTTTTTTTTTTTGCCCTCATGGCCTGGTAACCTCTGTCATCCTTTCCCCCTTCCTCATCCTCACTCGACCCCAAACTTCCCCTACGAAGAAGCGCCCTCGCCCACCATGGATGCGGTCCACGCCATCGTCGAGAGCTCCCTCCTGCCTCTGTGGGCATGGATCCGCGCGACACCGATCCATCTTCTCGTCGTTTCCGCCCTCGGTACCGTGTCCACGGGACTCTTGCTTGTGAGCCCAGCACCTTCCCCGCCCCCCTCTCTCGCCTGCCTCTGACCCAGAACCAGCTCTTCTTCACTCTCCACCTCGTCGCCCCGAAACCTCGCCCCGTTCTCCCCTCGGAGAAGACGTACATCACATCGAGCCCGACCGAACCTATTGCTACGGGACCCAGACAGCTGCCGTGCTGGTACGACCGCTGGCTGGCCGAGCGACACGCGAGCGAGAAGCAGACAGACCCGGACAGCAGCACCAGCAACGCTCCGGTCGGCGGCGACATCGAGCCTGCGGAGCTGCGCCTCAGCGTCGTCTTCCCGGCCTACAACGAGGAGGAGCGCATCATACCGACCCTCGAAGAGGCAGTCGCCTACCTGGACGAGCACATCGGCCGACCGACCGACAAGACGGCAGCAGCAGCAGAAGCAGCAGCAGCAGCAGCAGCGACAGAAGCCAAGAAACAACAAAAGAACAAGAAGCAGAGACAGCACCATCATCACCATGATGGTGCCGCCTGGCAGAATCACGTCTATGAGGCGAGCGGCTACGAGATCATCATCGTCAACGACGGGAGCACGGATAACACGGTGGGCGTGGCTCTCGATTTCGCGCGCGACAAGGGTCTGCACGACGTGCTGCGCATCGTGACGCTCGAGACCAACCGCGGAAAGGGCGGCGGCGTGACGCACGGTCTGCGCCACGCTCGGGGCCAGTACGTCCTGTTTGCCGATGCGGATGGGGCGTCGCGCTTCTGCGACGTCAACAAGCTCATCGAGGGTTGCGACGAGGTGGCCGATGGGTCGCATCGTGGGGTAGCCATCGGCAGTCGTGCTCACCTCGTCGGTAGCGATGCCGTCGTCAAGGTATGCTTAGTATGCTTATATTCCGTGCCTCTCCCTGCCTCTCCCTGCCTCTCCCTGCCTNACACACACTCTCTCTCTCTCTCTCTCTCTCTCTCTCTCTCTCCCTCTCTCTCTCTCCCTCTCTCTCTCTCCCTCTCCCCCCCTACAGACTAGAGGATTGCGCTGCATGGACGGCCATGACTGACCTTGGTTTGTGACAGCGCTCGGCCCTGCGCAACTTCCTCATGCGATCCTTCCACCTGGTACTGACCATCCTGACCCCGCCCGCCACGTCACGCATCCGCGACACGCAGTGCGGCTTCAAGCTGTTTACGCGCGCCGCCCTCCCCCACATCGTTCCCTACATGCACGCCGAGGGCTGGATCTTTGACATCGAGATGCTCATGCTCGCCGAGTCGGCCCCCGCCACACCCATCCTGGGATCGGACGGATCCGTCATAGGGACCAGCCCGGGCATCAAGGTTGTAGAGGTACCGATCGAGTGGCATGAGGTGGGAGGGAGCAAGCTCAACGTCGTGAGGGACAGCGTAGCCATGGCTCTTGGTCTGGCCATCCTGCGCGCCAGCTGGATGATGGGCGTCTATAGGAGGCGTCTTACTTAGGATTTGATTTTATGGAAACCAAAAGCGGGCCCTGGAAAAAAAATAAAGACACGTCGAGAGATGATGGAGAAAATGATGGAGATGTAAATTTCGAGGTGGAGAGATACAGAGAGAGAGAGAGAGAGAGAAAGAAAAAAAGGAGAGAGAATCGAAGAATAGATTAAATCATGCGACAAGAGTCGAGACATAATTAGTGGTAATGATAATCATACTAGTCATTACTAGTAGCATGATGTCGTTCGATTGACCCTCGAGACCTTCTTAGTATCCCATTGACTTGGCGCCCCGCTACGCAACACTGTCACATGTCAATGGGGAAATCACTGCTCCCCTTTCTACGAGATTATGTAGGAGAATGAGGTCACCATCCGCGTCAAGGCAGAGTGAGACATGCATATCGGGGACCGTGTCAACAAAACGGGGACATTCACATGCTTCCCGCGGGCTGCTCCCGACTGACCTGGCAGTCAAGAAGAAAAAGGAAAGAAGAAGGACAGGAAAGGAAGACGTGCCTGTTTTCGTTCTCATTCTAGAAATCACTAGAAATGCCAGCTGCGATTGATCTACGGCCCACGGGGTAGTGCATGTGGTGTGATATATGACCATCGATATACGAGTAAAAATCTGCCTGCACAGATTAGTCCAGCTCGTAATGTAACCACACCACTAGCCGGCGAACATTGCACATTGCACCTGTCAATATCCATAGAGTCTAGTAAGGAATAATATATTATCATCTTGTCATGTATGCGTATATGGTACAGCAGATAAGTGCCACTGGTATTTTGCTTTCCTCGAGATGGCCAATAGTATGACGTGGGGGTGTTTTTTCTTCTTCTTCTTCTCCTTTTCTTCTCTTTCTCTTTCCTTTGTTTCTGTTGTCCTTGACCCCATGCCTGATGTACATGCTGCTTTGAGGGATTTTCTTTTTGTATTTTCAGGAAAGATAAAAGAAACCTCTTTTTTTCTTCTTTTTTTTTCTTCTCTTTTGTTTACCATGAAACCTTGTTTGTTTACCAAGAGACATGAAATGATTCCAGTCATTCTGCGTGTAGAAAGGTAATGGAAGGGGGGGGGGGGACAGGTAGAGCAGAAAAGAAGAAGATGGGAAAAA